TCTTCTCAGTGGTAGCAGCTGAGAGAACAAGGAGCAAGGGCCTCAAATGGCAGCATTAGGTTAGATATGAGGAACAATTTTCTCAGTGGGAGGGTAGTAAAGCACTGGAACAGGCTACCCAGACAGGTGGAATCTCCATCCTGGGAGGTTTTTAAGACCAGGCTTGGCTGGGATGACCTAGTTGGGGATGGTCCTGCTTTGAGCAGGGGGTTGGACTAGATGACCTCCCAACCTTTGTTTTCTATGAATCTAAGCAAGGACTGTGGCAGGGGGCGGCTTCCACTGGCCCAGGGCATGGCTGTGGGAGACTCAGCCTTTAAACCAGTGGTTCTCAACCTTTTTTGTAGCAGGACCCATTTGTAAACTTCAATAGCTAGGCCCAACCCACTGGCTTCCACCCCCCAAGCCCCAGCCCCGCACTGTGGGGGGCAGAGGGTGGGTGTGTGGGGTAAGGGGGGTATCTGTGGGGCATGGGGGGCAAGGGAAAAGCCATGGTTTCCCACATTTTTCTCCTTTAAAGGAGAATCCATTTTGAAAATGTGTCCATCCACTTTTAAAGTTTGTTCATGACCCTTTCATATATTCTTGTGCCAGTATTGCCAACTCTCATGCTTTTTGGCGTTGTTCTTAAAGTCTGCACTTCAGGAATGTGAAAAGCTTAGCTCTTTCTTTTACTCTCACACATACATACATATACACACACACACACACATATATATACACACATACATATACATGCTTATATACGTGCACATGCACACACATGCATGTATACACACTATATATATATATATATATATATATATACACACATACATCTTTTATCTATACATACACACATATATGTATATATAATACACACACACAGTCTACACTTTTTATAGAATATAAAAGAAAGCTAAAGTTTTTCACATTCCCAAAGCACAGGCTTTAAGAACAAGCCAAAAATCCCGAGACTGGCAACAATGTTGCGACCCACCTTGGGGTGGCGGCCCACACTAGGGGAAAAGGAACATGACAAAGGTCATCCGATTAGTTTTGTGGCCGGAGGTGACCCTGGGGCTAGCATCTGCCTGCCCTAACCGACTGGAGAGATGAAATCACAGAAACAGAGGGCTGGAAGGGCCCTCAGGAGGTCACGTCCAGTCCACCCACCTTCTCCAAGCCGATATACCCACTGATTTGGCTCAAACCGGTTTATGCAATGTCTGTCCCAGACCCCTTCCTTGTTTAAGTTAAAATAGAGTCCCCCATAATCCCAGCATGCTCTCTGGGCTGGGCTGGGCTGGGCAGGGCAGGGCAGGACGCCCCGTGCGCCCCTTCCCCCGCCCCGCGGCAATGGGGCCGCAGGGCTGTCCCGGGTCGGGGCCACGTCTGCACTGCTAGACGTCGCTCGAGTCCGCCTCCCCGCCCCCGCGTGCGGCCCATTGCAGAGCTGGGCGCAGCGAGGCCGGGACGTGGGCGCGTCGCCCGGTTATTCTGCGCGGTGACGCCATTCCTACGTAGGCGGGCGCTCCGTGACGTTGCAGCCCTCTGGGGCTGGAACAGAGCGCTTTTCCCTTCGTGCAACTGAGGAGATGTAAGAGGGAAAAGGTAACGTGTAGCAATATGATTCGTTTTGGGGCTGGAGGAAGGTGACCCCTGGGCTAGCATCTGCCTGCCCTAAGTCCCTGAAGAGGTACATAGGCAGACAAGGGTCTTTGGGTGAATCTGATCTCTGTTGTTAGATCAACTCGGTATCAGTGCTATCAATAAAAAAAGATACCGGATGTTTCCAAAAAACCTTGTCTGCCTGTGTCCTTAGACCAGCATGGCTACAGTATCACCCCTGAAGAGAGACACACAAGACTGTTGTTTATTGCCCTAATATTCGGTGTCAAGTGCAGCGTGAGCAGGGGATGAAACGTGTAGGAGGAGTCCAAAAGAATTGATCGCTCATCCTGCCACGAGCAAGGGATTGGTACCTCACCTAATCCAAGCCCTACGGGCCTGATGCAGGATCAGCCCTACTATCCTGAAAAAACCATCCCCTTAACTCTTCTGAAAAACTGTCAGCAGCCCTAACGCAACAGGTTTATGATGAGGACGATTGTGATTATCACATGATATGAGCCAGCTGCCACCAAACTCCCACATGGTTTTTTATTTTAAATGCCTACTTGGATTTCACTTTGCCGAGCGGGGGCGGGGGAGTGATCTTAAATGTATGTATTTAAGATTCATTACTGTGGTGCAGCACTTCCTGAATGCTGCCTGGCTGGGGACATATGAGGAAAGTCTGTGGGGCTTTTGTGTATTATACCCACTTCTGCTTTAAAAGGCCAAATACATCCTTTTTTCAGTGAAAGATTTATTGCAAGTACTGGACTAGGATAGAAAGAATCTGACGGTGGTTTTTAGCCAGCAACTGAATGACAAATGGAAACGGTGTTCTGCTTGGGCTGCACTAGACCTTGAATATTAGGGCAATAAATAACAGTCTCGTGTATCTCTTCAGTCATTTAGGGCAGGCAGATGCTAGCCCAACAGTCACCTTCCTCAGACTCCAAAAGAAATCATATGACTTACATGTTTCTTTTTTCCTATTATATTAGTTGGTTTTATCCCCATAACACATTGGCCACATCTACACGCGGTGCTGGCTGTGCAGTCATTTAGTACTTGTATAAACTCCGGTTACTGTGGAGTAGTAACGAGTGGTTTATACAAGTACTGAATAACTGCACGGTAACCAGAGTTACTGCAGAATAGCATCACCAGATGGCTTTTGGGTGACACTGACTCTGCAGTAGCTTGTTACTTCTGCACAGGAGCATCCCGTATGCTTTGTGCCATGCAACACTACTGCGCAGTAGTAACGAGCTACTGTGCAGTCAGTGTCTCAAGTAGCCACGGCCATTGTGAAAACAAAACTCACTGCAGACAGAGCATCTACTTTTGATGAAACAGGGGTGCTGGAATTGAAATCCAGCATTAAGGTTATTTCCATATTCTATAAACATATTTTGGCAAGGAGATTCACTCTGGAGAAAGAATGGCTTATTCTTTCTTAAAGATGACTCATGCTTTGTTGCTGAAATGTTAAGTAACGTACTTAGAAAAGCTTACAAGAGCACTTTTACTCATTGTTTTAGACCCCTGTCCTAAGCTGCTAATTGGCCCATCTGAGCAAACTCTTGTGCCAGTGTGGTACCCCAGTGATTTCTATGAAACTGTGTAGATGCAGGAGTCTGCCGGGGAGGAACTTCTTTTTAAAGGAGTATTGAGTTCAGCTAAGTGGAGCTATAAGATGATGACAAAATATGAAAAGTTGTGAAATAAGTGGAATGTACAAGGATGTGATATGAAATGCAAGGAACAGTCCATGGGCCTGCTATTCATGCTAACAAGGTTTCTGGAGACTGTTATAAATTGAAATTGTGAGCAGTCAGTATTGTTGAGTAACAGAGTATAATCTGCTTTTTCTTGGAAGATGCTTCTCAGCAGTGCAGGGGTTACTTTGCTGGTTCTGTCTCAAGCAATTGAGAGTTTGGCTATGATGGTTTCCATCTATCTATCTATTTAGAAAAGCAAGCTGAACTACATTGAATTATTTTACTGATAAACCACAGCACTTTCTGTAATTGTATTAATGTCCTCTGGCATGTTTTTAGAGTGAGAGAAATAGTTATAACCTTAGGAATAATGGAGCGTTGATATTTCTCTACGATGTCTTCAAATTGCACAACAATAAAATATTGCTATGATTTTAAAATTCACTACCGCTGCAAAGCTTGTGATAGCAATTGGCTTTTTATACTATAAATTCGGTGCTAATAAAAGAAAAGATTAACTTTTAAATATACTAGACTTATTTGAATAGTACAAGGGGATGGCACAGTTCTTACCATCTAGCTATTGAAAGACTTCAGTCCTTCAGGCGAATTTCTGCTGTTTGCTACACAAGGTGTTTGGAGGTAATAGAAGACTTTTCTGTGACCACATCTCTCTAACAGTTGTTGAGTACACTTTGTCCCTCCTAATTTAACTTCATTTATTAAGAAATTCAACACTGATTGGATAAGAGAACTTTTCCATTACCAAAACTTCTCAACAAAAATTTTAAACCAGTCGGTGATTTTAGGGCAGGGGTGGGCAAAATGCGGCCATTCTATCCAGCCTGCAGGGCTCCTAAAAATTTTAGAAAATAAATACCTGGCTGCACATGGCTGCCTGTCATGTGGCCCTCAATGGCTTGCCAAAACTCAGTAAGTGGCCCTCCACCTGAAATAAGTGCCTGCCCCTGTTTTAGGGGGAGTCACTTCTTTTCCAGGCTTTTGAAATTGTAATTCTTGAAGCCACTGGAAGATGAGTGATCAATTCCTTTTGACTGTTACATGTTGCAGTCTTCTTTGTCTTCCCCTCCTAATTTAAAATGAAAGTAATGTATGCCTCGTCAAAAGTTACTTATTACAAAGCGGGACTTGGGTACCTTTGCAATAGCATACTTAAAAAAAAAATACTATGCATCAAACACATGCTCTTCTTCACTTTCCTATACTAGCGTATAATGTCTGAGCCTTCTGCAGGGACCTTACATTTTCTTAAACTCTGCCCCTACTGCCCATGTTGATGGCTCATTTTGCATCTAAAAGTAATTGTTCATATTTTGAAAACAAAGCCTGAGAGACAAAAGCTTGACTTTTGGCTTGTGAGCTCCAAGAGGGAAAAGAATCAGAAATCCCATCCAGGGACACAGCTATAACCTGACCCTGACAAGTACTGAGAAGTTGATGAAGGAGAGGATATTTTTGTGCCAATATCTGTACAGCTTTGCCTTAAAGATTTGTTGAAGGGGAAGTTATGGGGAAAAAGAATGTGTTTGAATATATCTACCCAATTTTAAATTTAATTTGACTTTGCATCTGAACCTGAGAACATCGGGTTGAATATGTCTTTAGGTTAAATATTTTTTAGACAAAAATTGATCTGTATAAATCTGAGCTATCAAGCAGACATTTCTATGTCTGAAATGTCTAATGATTTCAAGTAAATATACTTAAAAATCCCATTATTAATATATACACATATTTTCATCTGAAAATCATTATTCAGGTGGGATTGTCATTAATGTACAGGGCAGTAATGAAATCATGCTACTATAGTGTCTTGAAATATAAGCAGACTTGCGTATCTAGCAGATTTTGGCAATATAGAGATACTGACTTTACTGCTGAAAATTAGGTATGTTAGGTGTGCAAGCACCTAGACATGATTGACAAGATAAACTGAAAGGGCATGTCCAGACAAGCGCACATGTGCCTGTTGCCCTGCCTCAAACCCCTTTGAGGCAGGGCAACAGGCATGTGCAGGAACAAAAAAATGTTCCCCACGCTGCAAGTTTGGCCAGATACTGGCAATAGAGCAGAGCAAGTCCTTGGGGCTGCCAGCCTTGGGGCTGCTCATGCTGCCCAGCTGCCAGGCGGCACGAGCGGCCCCAGGGCCGGCAGGACCCGGCTCGGCTCTGTGCAGTCCCGGCGCACTGGGTCAGGTCCTGCAGCTATAGGAAGGGCCCGGCCATGGCTGGACCTGGCGCAGCATGCAGGAACCACATGCCGTGCTGGCTCCTGTCAGCATGAGCCGGGCCCCAGGGCCAGCTCCCACCTCTGCCCCCTGTGCCTGTGTGGGGGTGAGGACCTGGCCCAGCCCCATGTGGCTCGCTAATCCGGCCTTGCACTGGAGCGGGTCACAGGGCTCTGGGAGGTGTGGCTCCTGTGCGTGCCTCCCAGAGCCGTGCAACCCGCTCTGGTGAAAACCCAGACTAGCGAGTCTCAGGGATCTGGGCCCAGCCTTGCTGGGCTGTAGGGGGGGCCCAGGACCCAGGTGGGCCTGGCACGTGGTCCCTGCGTGCCGCACCAGGTCCTGCTGCCACAAGACCAGACTGGCTGGGCGGCAAAAGCAGCCCCAGGGCCAGCAGAACCAGGCTGGACTCAGTGCATGGTCCCCCGCTGCTGCTGTTAAAAGTTAGTTATGGGCCCTGGGCAGGGGGCCTGGGGCCCTGTGGGGGATAGGGGCTGTGGCCCTCTAGGGTGGAGCTGGGACTCTGGGTGCGGGGGCCTCCAGAGTGCCTGGGACCCTGGGCAGGGGGCTGGGACCCTGTGGGGGATAGGGGCTGTGGTCCTCCAGAGGGGAGCTGGGACCCTGAGCGGGCGGGGACATTCCATGTCCTGGGGGGCCTGCACCCTGTGGAGGCCAGGGGATCCACCCCTCCTGAGCAGCCCCCACACAAGGTCCCCACACCCACAGTGCCCCCAACAATTGCCCCACTCCTACCCACAGACCAACCCACATCCCTCCACATCCACCCACTGCCTTCTCCCACACCCCTTATCACCCCCTTTCTACAAACACCACATCCCCCCATCACACACCCATCATATATGAAGAAAACTAATAGCACACATCAACACATATAGGTATTTAGAATTTATTTTTTCATGATGATAGTAACACTGGTAGGCTTCCGCATTGCTTTAACATTGTAAATATACCAATAAAGCATTACCTAACTTATCACTGCCTCTCTCTTTCTTTAGATGTGTGTGTGTGTGTGT